AAACAATTGCCCTGTGGCCGGCCACTCTCCACTTTTTTTCTCAATATTTTGAGTAACCTTGGAGCTTATCGGGCATGAACTTAAGGTAGTACACCCCTAATTGGCACTATAAGGAACTGTAAAATTGACAATATAGGACAGTTATTTGCCTTAAATGTCACCTGTATGCAACATTTAAACAAAATTTGGATAAAGTATGGATAAATTTTTGAAGCCTTGCAACGAGTACAAGAAATATTTTTGGTACTTATCAGCAAAGACATGTTCAAAATATCGTGGCATAAATAAGATAAGGTTTCAAGCACATACTATTGTAACACATACAGTGAAAATAAACTGAAGCATTTACTGAAACATATAACTATAGGGGGTCGAACTTATAGCGATGCGATACTCCTTTAAGCGAGGCGAAATCATGCGATACGGACTAATGGCTGTTTTATTCGTGTAAACACACATCAGAGTGAGTGTATTTTATTAATTATGAATCTTCATAACAATTGCAGGTTTTGTATTAAAGATGTGAAGATAGGACCGACACATATTTCATCAAAATAACAGAGGCTTAAATTCATACTTAAAAAAGTTATTGAAGGTAAACTGACGGCAACTGATTTTGTGTCGGTGAATAAATTCGCCTAAAGCAATCTTATAATATTAATATAGTTAATTATTTTTGCTTCTTTATTCTATAAAGGGTCATCATAATTGAGTTGCATAGCAAGTACCTTTGTGTTCCGACATACATAGCCACTTAATGGTCAAAATACTTAAGTGTACGCTGGGTTTTGGTGCGATAAAATAATTGTACGTTTTTAAAGGTTTAACATTTTTTTCATTATCACATCTGTTGTTCATGTTTTCCTATGATTATACTAAGATTATACTACCATATATGTGTCCGTTTCCGGATTTCTGAAAAAGGTGTTTATATCTTCTTCTTTCCTTAAGGATTTACTTCAATTAAAAGTTTTGTATCACCATCTATATAAGTGTTACTATTTGAACTTAATTTTAATAATTAGATACATACCCGTGATAATTAGGAGTTGGAAAAAGTAACCTTTACTCTAAAGTCTAAGATAAGTATATTTCTTGTCATTTCTCAATTTTTAACATCGTTCATAGTTACTGTATCTTCATTCACAAAAATGTGTCGCCCTTTTCTACTACACGAGTCTTGTTTGTGATTTATTTTTCCTTTTGATCATGGAATTTGTGTTAAGTTTTTGTTCTGTAGTATATTTTATTACTGAAAAATCTATGCAATTTAATTTTGTAGTTTATTTTCCACTTTCGTTCATGACATGTCGGACATTTGATTTTGCTCCTGGAATTGTTTAGGCAATAATGTATACCTAGAAAATATTTCGCGCTTATTAAATTAGAGTTTTTCGCGTTGAATGTTTGTATCCGCGAAAAATTTGCATGTAACAAATCCGCGAACATTTGTAGCTTAGTTTTTTTTTCTACAGCGCATATCATTCACATAAAATGCAACATACAAGCTCAAAATGTTTTACTTTATTATCTGATCGAAGATCAGTAAATACAAAGCTCTCATTCAATCTCAACAAGTAGTTCTCAAAACCGCTTATTTTAAGACTAGCGATGTAAAAGAAAGAAATATAATTTTCCAACGAATTACAACACATTCAAAGTTTAAAAGAAGCGTTGGCTTATATAATTGTCTATAAATGCACAATCGCAAAATACGCGGATGAATGTGATATTAATCAATGAAAATGCGATTTTTAGCGATGTCGATTACCGAATACTACACAAATAAATATGACTGCCGAGTAGTGGAATATATAGATTCTACATGTCGGACTGTTTGGGCGAGAAAATTTTCGCTTATTATTTACATGTACTTCAATTTTATACAACAGGTTTATCCTGATTAAAATACCTCGAAATTAATAAGGATAACAAACCCGAAATGCAATGGAAATTCTTAATTTAGAATAACTTGATTTTATCAGAGTTTGTACAACTCCTCCGTGATGCAGGCGTAAAGCACTCGTTTAGTGTGTGAGGGGTCTGGAGTTCAAATCTCAGTCGAGGCATCCCTTTTTTAAATTCTTTTTTTAGTGTCTTTGTTAAGGAAGTAGCCACGATATGCAAGGATAAAGTGTGGCTGTCATGAAAAATGAACATAAATATTTTTTATGCAAATCTAGTTATGAAAAATTCTGTATACATGTATCAAACTCTGGTGTCCTGCAAGATGAATTATAGTACATAAAAATAGATTTATACAGGAAAATACATAAGATATACAGTAAGATTAAGATTGCATAAATCAGAAAATACCACAGAGCTTGCAGCCCTTTGATTTAACTCTAACTTGCCACTTAGGCAGTTCACACACATTAAGAAAGGCACTAGCTTGCATAAGAGATCAACAGAAGCATGTAGAAGGACTCTTTAGGAACCTTAACATATTTGTAAAAACAGTAGAAGTACGGCAAAAAAGTAGGAATGTAGGCAAAAGTAGTACTTCTTTCAAGAAGTGCCACAATGACATTAAATAAATATGGGCCATCTAATAGGATTTGTGAATGTTTCTTTTAATTTTCTTAGAAAAAAATATATAACATTCAATCCATAGAGGAAATCAAACCAGTATTTTTTTTCGTTGCAAGAATACAAAAACAAACAACAACACGATTTATGATATGTGCTTCTCAATGTATTGAATGAACATAAGAACCGATTGGAGGCGTTTTTTCGGCCAGTGCATGTAATACAATAGTAGATCCACTTTTCATATGTTGCTGTTTTAATTATAGTTATTTTTTCTGACAACATAAGTATGTAATTAATAATCGTAAAACATTATTAAATGATAAAAACCTTTACTGAGTGAATGGCATAAACAAAACGAGTTATATCGCTTCTATTGGTTATTTGATAAAATCTCAAATTTCTGAGCAATAATTTATCTACTTTTAATATTCAACCTTTGTGAGAAAAGAATATTTAAATTAACTATATCATAGTATAATACATTAATTGACACTGTTGTTTTAAATGACATTTTAATTTACAGATGCTTAACAGGCAAACATAAAAACTTGATATTTCATCATTACTGAATAAGTATGTACTGTAATGAGGAAGTCCTCGTCGCTACAGAAAAACACACCAAAATGTTTGCGTACAGTTGGTTTATCAGACCAAATATTAGGCGTACAGTAAGAAAACTAGAAATATTTATATATTTTCGGATATATTTGGAAAATTACTCTTGTATATTGTTTTGCCATTAAATATGAACATGCTGGGAATTAAACTGATCGAATATCTCGTTAAAAAACTACTGAAACATTATTCGTTTGCATGTGCATATCAGGTTGACGGTTGAATATGTAGCAACAAATACCTCAATAACTTCCTCAATAATATAAAATGTAGTATTTTATTTTGACGATCATGCACAATCATAAGTTCTGATCAGCATGTTTTTCATCAAGAAATTACAATAGACAACAAATATTTGGGGGGAAAAAACATTCTCATATTTACTTTCGTTTTCGCTTTCGTCGGCCATTAGTCCGTTTCGCATGAATTCAGCTCGCTTAACGGAGTATCGCAGGGTTATACGTTCGACTCCCTGTACCCGATACTATGACACGAATATGATATCCAGACGGGTACACATTATCAGCAAAAAGTGTTTATTGAATATATTGTATACTAGATGTTTTATCAAAATGTGATCACCATAGAAAAAATACATCCCTGTTACAACACTTTAAATACGCATGCTACAAAAGCATAAATGTATTAACCTTTATGAAATTTTGCCTTTTTTAAAATTTATCTTTTGACGTCTTTTCTGTGATATGAAAGCTTCAAAAACCTATGATTATTCCCTTTCATTTAGCATTGTTGAAATCAGTTTGATGTTTTAAATTCATTCTGAATAAAATAAAAGATTGATCGACTGACTGATTTGAACTAAAACGTATAAGACATTTTTAAAAATCTGAGGTTATATAACAATATACCCAGGAGATATATTTTTAACTTTATTATTATTTTTGTTTCTTTTGATTTTTTACGGGAGAAATTTGCTTAATATTTAGATAAAACAATGAAATAAAAACATAAAACACAAATAAAAAAAACCTCTGGATTGTTATATTTATTCAACCTGATCAGCATGATGATACATACATAAAAAAGACACAGAAAAATATATACATTTTCTAGCATCACAATTATTCTATACATATTTAATATATTATGATGTATTTTATTCTGAAGCCTGAAGCCAAGAAACTGGTGTAAACTTTATTTTCATTAATCCTGAACATGCTTAATTCGAGAAAAGGATTAGTTTTTAAGAGTCCATTTGTAGTGTATAACATCTCAATATTGGAATAGAAAAAAGCTGGTCAGACTGTACATGCTGGCGTGGCTGCAATCTGGTGGCAAAGACTAATCCCCTCTTGGTCAGGCAGGATATAAGGGTTTAAGGTATTAAAATAACGTAGTGATATTATATCTCTAATATTTGCACAAAAATGATGAAAAAATCGACAAAATTGATATTTACAAATTTTTAATTATTCTATCAACATTATGTGTATGTAAGATAACTATAATGGTAGAGAACTGGCACTGGGACTAAAAAGAATTAAATATATCATTTGAAATTATTGAAAATATTGAGTTGTTCAGTCCTGATGTTAGCGATGTTAAATCTGTCTGTCAAGGCATACATTAACTGCATTTTGTTTTGCTGAAGGTCTTAAAAAATCTTTTTATTTTGCATGTCAATCTTGTTATGAACAGCTACAAAACGATATGATATAAATTTAAATACTATATATTATATTACAAATGATATTTTATCAATAGAAAATCAAACTATTTCCTTGATCTATCCATAACATGTCACTCACAAAATGTTGTTTCAGTCGATTACAACTTTGTGTAAAAACACATTTTCGTTTATCTTCTGTGTGATACAGAAGATTGTGTCATTATTACGATATTTTGAATTTCTCCATTTTCATATACCCATTGCAACCATTTGTAACAACGAGAAATGATTTATCACGTGAGACACATACTCTATACGGATTTATCATATTTAACTTGAGCGATGATAAGATCTGACCTGTTTGGGATATCTGTACAATAGAGTTTGTTTTAGGAATACACACCAGGACAGTGTCAGAAGGACCAACTGCTGCAGCACGTGGTTCCTGTATCTGGTCATCCTTCACTACGACTCTTGTGTCTGTCTTGATATCATATATGTAGACAGTATGCTCGTATCTATCTGTAATCACAATTTTATCACTGCTCTTTATGTAAGTACAATCGCTATTGTCTACAGAATATATCTTGTTTGGAAAGTTTACACTAAAATCAAGCTCCTCTCCTGTCAATGATACAATACGAACAGGTATTGGTTCATCAATTGTCCCTACTACAAACTGTCTATCATCTTTGAAACATATAGAGTAATATTTCGTGTTCACGTTACATGTCCTACTTGAAGTTATTTCATTACATTTACTGACATGTAGAAATTCTATATTGTATCTATTACCACTCGTTATCGCTACTTCCTCCTCGGATACTACAACAACAGATAATGGGTTGTAAGATAGCTGATATGATCCTACTTTCTCAAGCTTCTCATTGTACAAAAAACATTTCTTGTTTTTGTTATCTACAGCCACCAGTCTACCATCAGGTAGAAAATCTATACCCGAATATAAAGGATCTTTGATATCATCTCTCGTCTTTTTTAAATCAATAGCAAAAACTGGTGTTAATTTCATCGCCATGTTAACAGAATTATGATCTTCCTGGTGATTAAACTTTGATTGTAATTGCCCTGGAATATATACAGTAATTGGATATGGCGGTAGTTTTAGTGTATCGTCAAACTGAAAAGAAATGTTCATCTTCTCCATATTCTTCTCTTCCTTAATGTTTCTGCAGAGAGCATTGACGTTACTCTCCATGCTATGTTCTGCTATATATTTCTGCACTGGAGTTCCATTTTTGAAGATGTTTTCAATCGTCTCTAAGCACGATGTTACATCAACCAAATGTTTCTCGTTTTGAGTTTGTTTTTTTGTCAGAGTTTTCAATCTTTCTTTCTGAAGAGTTTCAGCTCTCTTAGCGACGGAATCTTCTAACTCGTCAAACATTCTCAATACTTCGTCTCGCATTCGTCTAACCTCTACATGTATTTCTTTTATATCTTGAGCAAGTTGATCTTTTGAAAAACAAATATGTCTCGCAATACTCTCAGCAGATTGTTTAGCTTCCTTCAATTTCTCCCCTAAGATAGAAATTTGTGAGACTATTTTTCCGGCAATCTTCTCAATTTCTACAACGTTTACACATTTTCGGTGATAACCAATAGCACATTTACTGCAGCAGAGCTTCTTGTGATCTTCACAGAAGTATTCGAAAATATTTTGATGTTGATCACATAAATCTAAGTTTTTCATTTTAAACAAATTTTTTGTAGCATTAGCTTCCTGCACGCTCACCAAGTTATGATTTTTCAAGATGGCGAGCACGTTGTGCACATTTGAACAATCGTTACATTGGAACTCATAACAAGTTGAACAAAACTTGTCAGCTACAGTTTTCTTATCCTTACTTAAACATGGTCGGCACAAATTTTCCTTCATACGACCAGGAACTTCATCATCCTCTTCTATTTTACTTCCATTATCTGCCATTATGTGTAACGATTATATTGCCTTTATTTGTGGTCAATTTTCAGTGCATATACTTAAAATTTTAATGACACTAATCAGACTTTAAAACAGATTCAACTAAATGAAATGTTCATGTAAGCCATAACATCTTGTCCCGATCTCAATGTTATCGGTTAATTTTTTTACATTTCGTTGCTACAATTATTAGATCAACTTGGAACGCGGAAGTTAATTTACATGAAATCTATATTTTGTTTACAAGAGAGTTTAAGTTACGAAGCTAACTAAGGTTATTAAACCTGTTTTTCGATGTCTACTCTGCAATTGTGCATTATGTTTTAGTATATTTTTTATTTTCCGAAGAAATATTTTTATGATTTCTCATATAAACTTTCATTTTCTCTTTCACATATCTGTAATTTTTAAATAATTTACACAGTTTATCGTTAAACTTATAACCAATAAAGTGACAATATGCCAATTAAAAGGTAATTAGTCAGTTAACACATGAAATCAAAATAATATTACATTTTGCTTATTTTAAATTTACTTCACATGCAAGATAAATGACTGAAATATCGGTTAATATCAATTTGAAATTTACCTGTAATATTCAATGTTTTAAAGAGTGCGAATAGCCTTTTATATTTCAGGTAGATATTTTTATTGTTTACATTTTAAGGTATCAACTGTTGGTCAATCACAATTAATACAGTCAATCTTCAGAAATACACAGCCAGTGTAGCTGCACCTGACAATGAAAAAATGAGCATAAATTGAATGAATGTATTTTAGGCTGTCATTGAACATATTGAATAGTATTTATAAATTATTATATTGGTATACAAATTATCGACATCCCTATTTGTCAATATTGATGTAAAATGAAAGGAATAACAATTTATAGATGTAAGAAATATGATATATTTGTTTTATATGAATAAGGGTATGAACGAACACACACTTTATAAAATACATAAATAACCTACACAGTTATTTTTGCTTTGTAATTTGAGGGGGATATGTTACCTCAATGATATATAATTATAATGGATGAGTAAAATTAACCATATTACCAGCTAAATGTATATAAAAGATTTATTCAGCTTTTAATTTGGCACAGTTGTTTTGACAATAACGGATCTTCAAAATATATCATAATATATAATTATACCAACAGTACATAGCTTAATTTCACTGCACATTTGTGTCTCATTACGTAAGCTAATCACTATCGATTCTGACAGTAATGGCTTAATAAAGTAAGATTTAGACTAGAGAGTAGAGTTGTCTTTCAGTATTTCTGTTAATTAATTACGGGTGAAAATGTATTAGGTCGGTCAGATAGTCAAGTTTCATCTCGTAATTTTGCAATCGCAATTTCTCAGTCTTTTCTGTCAGACCCCTAATGCATTAGTATCAATAAACCTTACTATTACGGTATTTCTGTTTAAATATATATATCCACGGCATTTTAACTCATACACAGTATCAAGACATGAACATGAAACTGTTACACGTGCTTGATTTTGCAACATATAACTTACATCAATAACCGGCAAATAAATGGTTCTTTGATTATATATCACTCTGTTTTAGTAAATTAACTGACTCCGTGGTCGAGGGGTTAGAGTCGATGACTTGGGAAAGGGCGTAAAATCAAACAAACAAACAAATAAATTGTTTATAAATAGGATAAGGGTTCGGATAAACCCCTCATCTGTCCTGTTCCTTCGGCCCAGTAACACGATACACGCTCAACAAATAACAAAATTGACCCATTAAATATAATGTCAAGATCTAAGCTTTTGATAATTGTAACGTCTTTTAGAGAAAATCACGCAAACATGTCTTGACATATGACCCGCTCTGGTAAACTAGTTAAATGTCAAACCCTTTCCCCTCAACCTACCCCTTTTGAAAAATGCAATGCCACTGATGAAAATTTTTCAACTTTTCTTGATCCACGTCAGCAGATTCAGAGGAAGGTCTTATACTCTCCTCATTTACTTCTTGAGACTAACATGAGGCTAAAAACAATTTTTAATACATTTTGATGAGATATTGAGAGCTTTTGTCATTTCTTTATTTTGCTTTTGTTTTGTTATTGCAGAAACTCGAGAGCTCTGTTTTGGTTTTGTGCTTGGCCTGACTATTGTTTAACTGTTTCCATAGACATAATATAAGAAAGGATGCTCAAATATACCTTAAAATTGAGCAGTTATGCTCAAGATGTGTTTTTCTTTCTATGAGAATGACATTCCCAAAAATGATCTTGTTACATAGGTTTGACCGACAAAATTGTTCTCAAAATGTCCCAAAAGATAATCACCCCCCTTTTACTGAAATTTTCTGCTGATCACAGAACTGATATATACCTTTTTTAAAATGCAAAAATATCCAAATGAAAGTCTATTCTAGATACTTATGAAACAGTTTATTTTCCTACGAAACAATACAATGAAAGTTTCTTCAATAAGTTTCGTACTTGTTAACATCATATTTTCATAAAGTCACCTGAAGTCCTATTGAATTTTACGGGTTTTTCTGCATTTTTTGCAGCCAATGGATGGTCATGTTACAATACAGTAGTATGACCTGAAGAGAGAATGTTGAATATTAAGCATCCTTGTATCTAATATTTCCATTTCTAAACTTTATTGTAAAACTACTGATATTAAAATTGACCATTTTATACTAAGATATAAAAATATCCTCATTAATTTAATGTTAACGCAATGTGACGATTGTAATCAAACGAATGTTCATCTGTACGGTGATCACTTAGGGCCAGTCGTTTTCTATGAGAACGACAGTACTATGGTGACAGTGCGATTGCCTTTGTGATGATAATCTAGAGGCAGATCGTAGCGATGAAGATGATAAGAACGAAAACTATTATGATGATGATATTAATTATTATAAATTCTAAAAATGTAAATGGAATGGTTGTGTTTCCTTTCCCATTCCTTTTATATACCTCAAAAAGTATACAATGTAGGTATTATTACTTTATGATAAAGCTAGACATGTATGATTTTTGGAATGTTTAACACGGAACATGTTTATTTAGTCACTGCACATTTTACCTACTTAAATTTATCCCACTATTACTTCTACATTTAAATTGCATTTTAGAAACGCACTAGAAAGACATAAATTCAAGGTAAAAAACTAAATATAAATCAAAATGAAGCATGGTAGAAGTATAAGTCCTGGTGAACATCTACAGTTTAAACTCATTTACTTAAGTACTTCCTGAGTTGTGATGCCCCTTTGTCGAGTTAGAATTTACGTTAAAGTTTTTGTAACATCTCAAATATTTACAAAGTCCATTGACATATGGCTTTGATTCTGTACACTTGTTCACCATCATGCCCCTAATCTGTTCACAAGAGGGGTCAAGCATTTGACAGAATAATGCCTCTCTTGTTACTTAGAATTTACATTAAAATTTGCATACCACCTCAAATATTTTCATATTCCATTTTATAAACTTCTTTGAGAGCATAATAAGACTCTCTCCAAGGCCTTTCACTATTACACAGATTTAAAGAACGAAATGGCCCTCTTGTTAACTTAGATCATTTTAAATTATCAAGGCTCTTTTACTATCAAGCACTTAGAATAGTCGAGCGAGCTGTCCTACTGCTAGCTCTTGTGAAATTATTTCCCTTTTATAAATTCCTGAATATTTTCAGATTATTTTTCTAGAAATGGACCCAAAATCCATTCAAGTATTCACTTGAAACTTTAGATAGCAGATGACATCTGGGGAAAAAAGTGCAGTGGCTAAGAACCATTATTCTAAAACCATGTATAAATTATTTCCGTCTCTATTATTTCATAATATTTTGACTTTGTTTTAAACAACTAATACAAATGTTTCGTCTAGAAACATTTTTGTGCGACGAAAATGTTATGAATATTACAGTTTTTTGTCATGAGTACGTTTATGTTTGGTAACAATTCCCCACTTTTGTTTACTTGTTCAAATTTTAATGTAAAGAAATATTCAGAAGCAGTCTGTATTGGAAACTGAAATGTAGGTAGTTGTTGTTGAAATCGTTGTTTGTATCGATAAAAACCAGGGAGTGCGAAAGGAACATTGGATAAACCTCTAAAAGAAGTATATAAATGTTCAACGTAGATTCTTTTGGTGATTTGTCTGAGATATACTTCCTTACGTATCCATTATAATAACAGATATATTATGTAAGCAGTGAATAAAATGTCTATTTTTATAGTATTGATTATGATACGTTATGGGGATGAATCATATGTACTATGATGATGATGATGACGATGATGATGATGATGATGACTATGATGATGATGATGATTAATTCACACAACTTATCATAAGTAATCTCTGCTCATGATAAAAGGTATGATAATAAAACAGATAAGAAAACACATGTTACTAGTTCGAAAACATTACCAAATACATTGTAATTGCGTTCGCGAATTCATATGACAAAATTTTGTCGTCTGCATTT